CTTCTTTTCATAGTTCAAAGGCTGTCTAAGTAACTTATAGTTTATACTACTCAACATATTTTACAACATATTCATTAAGAAATTATTATTTTCAAATTTAAATTTAAAGTGGGAAAAATTTCATTTGTAAAATTTAATGACTGAATTAGTATGTCAAATCGGAGGGTGTACCAATCATTACCCTTCATGAATTAATTAATTAAAAGCATGCGTCATAGTGTTTTCACAAAGCAAGCTAACAAGACCAAAACCTATACATTGAATTTGAACCACTTCTTTAACTTACAAAAAAGAAAAAAAAGAAAAAAAAGAATTTACAAATGAGAAAACAATGTCATGAGACTTGAGAATGCCATCTTGATAGACAAGACAATGAGAAATGGATGAATATAAAAATGCCAAAGGACTATTTAAAAAGAAAAAGACTTTATTCTTTTTCTGGGGAGGGGGGTACATAAAATTAAAATGAAGACTAGTAGATGCAACATGAGGACTTCTAAAGAGTTCACACTACTTTTGCCCAAACACACTTAACTACAAAATTCTGATAGGATCCAACACATTAGTACTGTTATGATCGCACATAAAGAGTTTACTTTATTATTCTTCAAAGAAGATAACTATGCCTCAAGAAGATGAATTACATATATATATATATATATATATCTGTAGCTAAACACATGTTGGGGAGTATCATATTGGTACCACATGAAGAGGAATTTTCTTATAAAGAGCGAGCCCAAAACTTTCATTCATGTATAACTTCTCTTGGTCTATACCATCTAACAACTTCCAATTGAACTAGTATAGAAGGTTGGCCATCATATATTCAAGTGAGGTAATCGCAAATTCAATCCTAGGACAACCTCTTCTTCCACTTCTAAATGGGATGAAATGGTAATCATGACCCTTGTAATCAATAAGGTTGTTATCAAATCTCTTTGGGGAGAGCTTCTTTGGCATTTCCCATAATTTAGGGTCCCTTTGGTTGTCCAAACGTTGACAAAAACTCTAGTTTTGGGAGAAATGTCATGACCCTTGACTTTGACACTTGTAGATGTTTCATCAGGTCAAAAACGAAAAGGTGGATGCAACGTTAGAGTTTCTTTGATGATGCACTTCAAATAGTTCATTTTGTTGATGTCGCTTGCATTTATCTTTGACTTATTCTCCACCACTTCTCTTACTTCCAGTGTTTTGAAAACCAACCTAGAAGTCAAATTGTTTTGACTTCCGGTTCTTAGTTTGACTGGCTTAACTAGTTAAATCAATCAATTTGTTGGTTCAATTGAATATGAATAAATATAATATTATGTAGTTTTTGTACTAGTTTGTTATCTTGCTTATCATGGAGAAGACGTAGGTTCGAATCTGTTGGTTGCTAAAATGTAATTATTATGTTTCTAACCTCTAACTTATAATATATTAACAGGTTTTTTTCACATGTAAAGTGTACAATAAATGTAATTTTTTTAATTAATTTATATAAAAAACTATAAAGGTTGACTTTAAATTAGTTAATTAATCAATTAAAAACATCTATGTAAATATCAATTTTTATAATTTTTTATATAAATTAATTATAAAAAAATTATATTTATTACACTTTTTATGTATTTAAGATAAAAATAAGACAAACACTACATTAATTTTAACATGAAAGTTAATGATATTTCTCTTTACATTAGGTGGAGGAACTTTATAAGGGGAAGGAAGTTCAATTTCATGGGTGGTATTTTCAATTCTTTTCTTCATAAAAATAAAATAAATAAAATTTTAAGCAAATCATCTCAATCTTGGAGGTGACGTCCTAGTAGCAAAAGTAATTGAAAATCTCTCTTTAGTCTTGTGCTCAAATCTTAAAGGTGGCAAATCTAAGGAAAATTTTTCAAAAACTTTAAACCGTTTGGTTGAACGATTTTAATGGTTTGAATGATTTTGTCAGTTTTAAATGATTTAACCTCTTTATCGATTCTAAATACCCACGCGATGTGTTTATAGTACTGGGTATCAGTCTAATTAATTTGACCAACTAGTCCAATCCAGTTTTTAAAACAATTGCTTACTTCTACTTGCACCTTTTTCATGATGTTTGGATTCTTCAATAACTTAGCCATTGCCCATTCTGTAGTTGTTGCCATAGAATCACTATCTCCTAGAAACAAGTCTTGTATGAATTACACCAAAACTTCAAGGATTGAAAAACATAAATATACAAGGAATGAAAACAAATATATTTGAAAACATGTGAAGAAAAAGAAGAAAAGAAACTAATAAAATTGCATTGAGGTTGTCATTTGTGAGCTTTATATCCAACTCATCATCCTCTTGAAGTTCGAGGACATTATCCAAGAAGTCCATTTTCTTGTTCTTTGAGAGCCTATGCTCTTTAATAAACTGATCAAGAAATGAATCCACTACTCTAGATGCTCTATAATAAACATGTTCTCTAAGCACATCTAACCACCATAATGAAGGTAAAATATCTCCAAAACTAAAAGTTGTAAATAAAGATTTAAACACACTTTTAATAATTGCCCATACTTGCTATTGCCATCTTCTTCCTTAGCTTTTCTACTAAAAAGGCACCTAGAAATTATGTTGTTTACCAAAACCACTATCATGTCACTGAAATTAACAACATTGCCTTTAGATGATGTAGAATGTAATTTATTGATCAAGGTTATGATTTCTTCTTCTCTTACAAATTAGGATGAATGCGACTATGCATGGCTCACTAATTATATAGAGCAAAGTTCTTAGCTTTTCTATAATATTTCCCATAAGGTGCAAAAAAGATGTTAAAATATTCATGATTATGACCACAACAACAATGAAAGTGAGCCCACTAATTTCCATGTCAACAAACTCCAAGCTAGATCAGTCTAGCCAAGATCGAGTTAATAAACTTGTTTCTTCTTCCCTTTTTCTTCCCTTTTTCTACCCTTATTCTAGGAAACATGGTGAAAGATGTTCAACTAGGGTTGGAAATCTAGAAACAAATCCACTTTGAGTTTAATTAAGGGGCAGTGGGAGATCAATTGGGTTGTGTAAGCTAACTAATCTTGCCCCTTTGACAATCACCACAGCACCATCTGCTTGAGTTACTTTTTTCAAGACACTAGTCTCTACATCATGCTACAAAGTTTAAGCAACACCAAGATTGATGATCAATTTCAAAAAAATGACTCATGAAATCCCTAATCAATTGGACATAGATGAAAATACAAACCTTGTCTCTTTGTAAAGGGATGTAGAAAGAGAATTCAATTGGAAAAATAAAAATGTTAGTGCATTAATAGGTTGATGAGTTTTAAGATTTCAAGAATTATTGGTAGGGAGATGCACATATCCCTAGCATCATAAATCCAGAGCTCCATGGGACTAGTCGATTGAGATGGTGCCAAAACCGATGACCCCTTGTCTGATGTCTTTGGCTTCACCAATCCCTTTCACCTCTAGGTCTAATAGGCTATTTGACTCTAAAGATTCGTGAATCTATGTACTCCCACCAATTTACATCCTCCAAAAGCTTAAAAGAAAGAACCTTGTTATCAATCTCCACATCAAATTCATAGGTGATGGAATGCCCAACAAGAGCATCCCTCAAATCAAACTCCAAAAGTTTAAAATTATTGGCTTGAAACCCTAATCCCTTCACAATTGCTTCCTTCAAATCCTATAAACAATCCCTAAACACAAATTGCAATTAGGGATTTTGACAAGGGTTAAAGGGTAAAACAAGAAAGGAAGAAGAAGCAAGTCTATCAACTCAATATAGGCTTGGCTAATATGGCTAAGGGTTGCAGACATGGACATTAGTAAGGCCCACTAATTGCAATTCAACAATAAAATTATAAATTAATAAATGGGTTGAGGTTTAACAATCAAAAAACATTTGTTACATAATAGTTAGTGATGGTGTTAACTAAGGGAGGTAACTACTCTGAAAACTTAAAGGATGGTAGTATGTTTTGAAAGAGTAAAGGGAGGTCTTTAAATGATTTCTAAGTATGGGGAGGACAATGTACTAAAATTGAAAATAGAGGGACTTTAATTCATTTCTTTATAAGTAATTACTGCACTCATTTAGGATTTTTTCTTCTTTTTTTTGGGTTTTTTGGATGTTTCGTTTAGGATCGTGTTACATAATTTTAAAAGAGTCCTTATAATTATCGTTTCAAAAAAAAAAAAAAAAAGAGTCCTTATAATTATTAATAACTTTAATAAATTAAATGATAGTCATATCCATTCCTGGTCTTTCTCTTTCTTTTGGTATGTTTGCCTTTAGGCGTCTTGTGCGTCTCTAGTGCTTGCTTGTGGTTCGGTGTGGCAGTTTTGTTGACGTCGAAAGCAAGAGGAAGTAATGGACGGGGTGCAAATTCATGGTATTCTAGAAATGGGAGAACCAACTGTGGAGGCAGGACTGGAAGAGGCCAACATAGTTTGGTAATGGCTGCGCCTTGCATTTTAAGCGTCTGAACTTGATATTATCCTTTTTAATTGTTTTGTTATGTTTTTGATGTGATGTTTACGTACGTGAATTAATGATAAAAATCTCTTTTTTAGTATAAAAATATATTTAATTGAAAAGAAACTATAATTATTTTGTATAATTAATAGTACATTTAAAATTGTGATGGAGAGTTTTTTCATATAACTGTATAATATTTTTAGATAAATATATGTTTGATAATTATTTTTAAATTATTTTTAAAAAAATGCAGAAAATCACAAAAAAATTATAATAATTATATATGTAATTTATTAAAAAAATTAAAATATTTATATCATTTTCTCAAAAATTTTAATATTTTAAATATTAAAACATTTTAATTTTCAGTTTCCTCTCACAACAATTAAAATAAAAAATAAAAAGGTACTGAACCAAAACGCTCCAGTCTTAAAAGCTTGGGCTAATTGGGCTAATTTACAGTGACCCAGCTACATTTTTCGGTCAAATTCCAAGTGGACCTCACCCCGAGTTCATCTGACCCATCCTGTTAACGACGACACCCAAACATTTCACCGTCTCTTCCAAACCCACATTGTTCTTGTTCAAGAGAGACCACATCTGAATCCTGATCTCCGACCAGGAATCTCCGAGAACTCGAAGAACCGACAAAATGACAGAGGCGGCGATAAGGAAGAAGCCAGGGATGGCCAGCGTCAAGGACATGCCGATCCTCCAAGACGGGCCTCCTCCTGGTGGGTTTCCTCCGGTCCGATACGCCCGTCGGATACCCAACAAGGGTCCCAGTGCTATGGCTATCTTTCTTGCTGCATTCGGTGCCTTCTCCTACGGTATGTACCAGGTCGGCCAGGGCAACAAGATGCGAAGGTCCGTTGTTCTCTGTCTTTTAGCCTGAATTTGTGAGTGTTTATTGATTTTTGGAATATGGGTTCTGTTGGATTGTGAGCTAAACTTATGGATTTTGATGCATGATGAAATATTTATGTCTTTATTTTGTTTGATGTTGCGATGAATTGTTATAGCATTGATGGTTTTTGATTGGGTTCTAGTCATATTTGCTTGAAATGAGGGATTTTGGGGATTGTTGGTTTTGGGGCATCAGTTTCAGTTAATGTTTAGTGGAAATTTTGGCTGTGAAAACTAGATGGTGGTGTTTAGTCATCAATTTGGTCACTATTTGATCTGAGCTTTTTGTTACTGAAACTCAAAGCTTTTTGGTTCTATTTATTGTAGAAATGGAGGAACTTTTTGGCTATGATCATTTCTTTCTCTTAGTATCAAGTTGCCAGTCCTCCCATTGATATTAGAGAAAAGGAGGGGGAGAAGGGGGCGCTGTTTACGCTTTTATTGTTTTTCTTGTTCTGTATTAGCATTGGAAATGTGGGGGATTATATGGGTTATCAATGGTGCTCCTGTTGGCCTTGTTTAGGATTCGATTTTTATTTCTTTCGTTGTACGTCATTCTTGCACAACATGGTGGTCTTTGTTATGGTATTGTAACTTGCAATAGTGGTAACTGTTGGCCAGGAGTTTTGCCTCTCCATCCAATCTTTTAATAAAAATATAGACAGTCTTGTCTAATTACCATTGATATGGTCACCTGAACACTTTTCAGAGAGAACTAACTTGAATCTTTGGAGGTAAGTGTTTTTCTTGTTTTCCCATTGCTACTGTCATGTTTGGTCTGTAGCCTGAGCTGTTGATGATGAATTTGATGATTGCTGGGTTTTGACTACTTTGCTTACAACAGTGATTGCTGGTCACCAGTTTCTTTAGTTCTTTCCGTAAAAGCTCTGTAAATCTGTTTTGTTGATTGCACATATAAGTCTTGGTAGAAATGGTTTTTGGTTTTTTTTTTTTTTGGCCTCTGTCTTGGCGGTAATGGTTAATATGAGGTTTTAGCATTTCTCCTTAATAAGCAACAAGTATGTGATAGAGGTTGATTTGACGTCGATAATTTGAACATTTACTGTGTACTGTCATGTTTACTGTCATTGTTGTTCTTTAACTGTTTCTTTTTCATCATGGATACTTGGATTGAAGTAGTTGTCCCATGCAGGGCACTCAAGGAGGAGAAGTATGCTGCACGCAGAGCAATATTGCCCTTGCTTCAGGCCGAAGAAGATGAAAGGTGAATTGTAGATCTCTTCCTACTCATTTGTTCTTTCACATCCCCATCCATAGAATTTGACTCTTCACTTACCTGTTTTCTATCTTCAGATTTGTCAAAGAGTGGAAGAAATATCTTGAATATGAGGCTGAAGTAATGAAAGATGTTCCCGGATGGAAGGTTGGTGAAAGTGTCTATAATTCTGGGAGATGGATGCCCCCAGCGACTGGTGAGCTCCGACCTGATGTCTGGTGACATTGTTTCCCCATCTTTGTTTTTGTGCTGCATCTCTACGGTGAAATGTTTTTCTGTTCCATTCAAGCAAGCTTGATGACACTGCTTTGTCTTGTTCCATCCTAGAGAAAATGAGAAATAAATATGTAGCAAGAAGCCGAGTTTAATGTGTTGAAATTCGAAATACATCTTAATGTACACCCCATATTTCATCTTATCATCAATAGACATCATTTTCAATCTTCTGTTCCCCCTCAGCTTGCTTTCTTTCCTCATCCTCTTCATTTGCACGATTCAAGTGGCCACCGCAGAAAGGCTACGGTTGCAAGGTACACATAGTGCATGGGAAAATGGATTGTCTGATTCAAAGTTAAAGCAAGAAATGGTTGGAGGCCGGCTCTTTTCCTCCCCTTGCACTTACCCTTCCGGCGACGTCTTTCTCAGCTACTTCTGCATCTGGTTTCCTTTGGGCCTCACGTTAGGTTGAAGTCGAAATAAAATGGTTTTGGACTCTATTTTCATAACAGTTATATTACATTAACATTAACGATCGAAAGAAGGAAAGTCTTATGGAATTTGAACTTCGTAATACTTACCATTAGATGGAAAATGGGCTTTTTAGGCTATGTTTGGTATAGCTGGTAGTTAGTCTTTTTGAACTTCAAAAATTTCAATTACACCAAATATTACAATTTGTGAAAAATGTTACAATTTCTCACATGTTAATTTTTTATCCATTACATTGCAAATCTTAGAAACACAGAATGGATGCTTCTATAGGAGCTTCTCATTTAAGTTTTAATTAAATTAACATATTATTCTTATTTTATCTTTATTTTTCTTTTTATTAATAAAAATAAAACTTTTACAACAGGTTTTTTTTAACAGAACTTCTATTAAAAACTTCAGTCACACCAAACGGGCATTTAGTATTGGAGGCACTTTTTTTTCTAATGATCTCTATTTTGTAGTTAGGTATAGTTAGCACTGGAAAACAAGAGACTCAAAAAGGATTATTCATTTACACATTTGCCGGCTAAAAATAGCCAATAAAAATAATTCAACCATGTCAAATTGTGAGATTTTGTTATCAACATTAATGTCATCAATGAATCGTTTTTGTTTTATATAATGAATAGTTGAAGAGACGAGCAGAGTGTGTCAATATATTGAACTGCATAGAATATCTTGGCTTCAAAGTTCAAATAAAGTTAGCAAATATGCAGCACTTACTTATATTAATATGATGTTAGCGTACTGATGTTTATAAACATCTGCTGCGGAATAAATGTTTTTTTCATCTAGAAATTGACTCCCCAATGGACGGTGTCGGCGTTGATAGCTCCGGAATGAGGACCACTGGTGATAGCTCCAGCGCCAGGACCTATGTTATGGACATGGTTGATGCTTCCAGGCTCCAGCAGCAAGGCCAACTTTCAAAGCTCCAGCACCGTGGCCAACGTTTTTGACTCTACGCCCAGCCCCGGGGCCATAGTTGTTGCTGTAATCCTGAAAGTTGTTGTCGTTGCCATAAATTTCGTTTCTGAGGTAGCTCGGAACAACCCCATAACCTCGGAAGTCATTCTGAGGATAAGGGTAGCATTGAAATTTGTTCCGAGGGGGATACCAAGGAGTAACGTTTGAATTTCGAAACTCCTAGGCCAGTAGTAGTACTGCATTTTTTTGTTGACTCAGGGACACCAAGTGCTTCCATTTTGTTATAGATAAGGATGGAAAAGGAATCGGCATTAATTATTGACCAATTTCATTAGCTCAACCTTAAGTATCTTTTTTTTTTTTTTTGTTTAGATGTCAGGATGTCTCTTGGTTATTTTGTATATATTTCAAAACTAATTTCTTATAAATCTAATCAAAGACAAGTCATTTATGTTAAAACTAGAGAATTTATGAGAAATCGAATTTTGATCAATAAAGCAGAGAACAAATCTCCTTACCTAAACCACAACTTCTTGAGTGAAGCATATGATGCTATAGCATATAACTATTGACATAACATATTAATTGGAACATGGGGTGGGGATTATTAATTAATCAACAACAAAATGCTTCTCCATTTTCAGCTAATCTATACAACAAATCTTCGAAGATGCTTAACATAATTAACATGCCTCACTGATGTGATAATTGAGGTTCATTATAGCTTCTTCCTTACAAGAAGTTAAGAATAATCACAAATCCAATGTTTTAAATTAGTAAATATCAATTAAGTCAAGTTGTTATTTATGATATATTATTGGAGAAAAACATCATTGTAATACAACTTTATAAAGTGCTTATAAAACAATTTGGAAAAAAATAAATACGTTTTAAAAAAGCAAGAAGATTACCTCCCTAAGCTGAGATCAATTTGAGGCGGAAATTTAGTGAAAGAAAATTTACGAGGGCTCTTTGTGAACTAATAAAATTTTTGGGGGTTAGGGGAATCGATTCTAAAATCCAAACCCAAAGGTTGTAGCTTTGAGGCCCTATAAATTCGAAAATTTCAATCTTCTGGTATTCCTAGTGCCCAAGAGGCTATGTAATTGGGATTCTCTAATTTCAATCAATTACAGGTGATGACTTTTAGTTTTTCTATGTTTTTTCTCTGTGATTTCCTTATGTTAATTCCGTCAAGAATTTCACAGTTATTAAGAACAATTTCCTCAATAAAAAAAGTGTTTTGCATGTGCTAATTAAAAAAAATCGTGTTTTATAGGTTTTTAACCAAAATAAAATGTGTTTTATAGATCATATTGCACCAAACTATAAACATTAATATTTAAGTTAAAAAAGATTCCTATCTTGATATTAGCGGAAGACCCACATTTAATGGATATATTGCAACTCAAATTAACCACAAAAGACCAATATGGGTTGAACATTTAATACCTTTGCTGTTCTTGGAAGTTCAACATATATAAAATATCTTAGCATCAAATTATTAAGATAGCAAACATTCAGCACTTATTTATACATCTGCTACAGATTATAGTCTTTCGTTTAGAAATTGACCCCCCCGTAGACGGAACCACTGTTGATATGTCCGGACCCAGAATTGAAATGTCCGGGCCCAGAATTGAAATGTCCAGAACGCGGGCCACTGTTGTGAGCTCCGGCCCCAGGACCATTGTTATGGTTGATACCTCCAGCACCAGGGCCGTAGTTCGAAGCTCCAGCACCTGGGCCAATGTTTGTGAATCTACCTCCAGTACCGGGGCCTATGTTGGTGCTGTAATCTTGAGCGTTCACATACTTGTTCCCGTTGCCATGAAAGTTGTTGCCTCCATAGTTGTTGCCTCCATAGTTTCTCTGGGGACCCCCATAACTTCGGAAGTCATTCTGGGGATTAGGGTAGCCTGGAAAGTTGTTCTGAGGAGGGGGATACCAGTACTCTTGGGGATGCCAAGCCCAGTAGTTCTGCATTTTTTCTGTTCACTCTCAGGAACTTGGAGTTAGCTGTATGTATTTGCTTTTCTCGGTCCAAGTACCCCTTTTTTATAGATAAGAAGGAAAAGAAAGCTGCAATAATTAATGCATTTCATTAGCTCAACTTGAACCATCCGATGCATGCTACGGACGCTAGGCACATCCTCTTCACAAATTGGACATAAAATGAATTAATTAATGACGAATAATGTAACATGGGAATCAGTGCAATTAATCAACAACGAATAAAAATGCAGGAAGATATACTTAAACATTTTCACCCAATCTATACGAGCAAATCTTAGAAGATGCTCAACCTGAAACACCCATTTTCAGCATAATTCTCCATTGCAAGAAGGAATAACCTTTTTTTCCATATATTCCAGTTTCCGCAATTGGCCATAATGAAATTTAGTAATAAAAACTTCTAAAAAGTCAACACTCTCACAATTTTCAAATTTTGTTGGAGGAATAACTTACAATTTTTAGCATTTTGAAAAGCATGCCCTTGGAGAGATGAAATTCTTTGGAGGCGACAAAATCCGAATGGTGGTCCTGAGCCTTTGTTCAGCTTGTAGGTGCTGGATATAGGAGCCATTGAAGTCGAAGATGTCACTGGTATGAGGATACTGAAAGGCAGAAAGTTCCCTCACATGTGAGCCTTGATGAAGAACTTCGAAGGCGGTCCTCCTCCTCCTCATCATCCCTCGTTCTTTAAAGCCGACCACATTCCCGCCCGGTGAGAATTTGTCCCGGTTCCAACACAACCATGGCCCCGGTTCCGGGGCTAATAACAATGGCAAGGGGGTCATTAAAACCACATAACCTCCACAGAATAATAATATGGAAAATAAAATTTTGGGACAAAAATTTAAGAATTAATACATACAATATTACAAATTTTAAAAAAATAAAAAAATTAAATATTAAATAATATAAATTTTTTTAATATTTTAAATGATATAACATAAATTTTTAATTCTATATGTCGTTATTCATCTCAATATTATATATTGTGAATTGTTTACCATTATTCCCCATATTATATGTATATTTTGGTTTGGCACCTCTTTCTTTTTCTTTAATGATTTGAGGATGCAAGCTTTACAATTTGAATAGACATTTTATTTTTAATCCCTTCTCTTCACATTGAGGTTCAAATATGAAATTTATAATATATTCTATTAAAACTGTTAAGAGTAAAATAAGGTGTATATATAAGCAAGTTGAAGAATAACTTTGCAAAATGAACTCTATAATAGGGCACTTGATGCAATAACTCAACTAGTACATCACTACAGTAAAGTTGTTCACTAGTTCAGTCTTGACCGAAAAAAATTTGCATACCCTAGTACTAAAAGTCTAAAACTATGTAATTTCATTAAGAATCATTTAGTTGCCTCTTATGTTTTAGAATGAGGATTAAAAGGGTCTTTATTAAAATTACTTCCCTTTTATGTTTTAGGTTGATTATTAAACTACATTTATTATATTTATTAACATTAAGTAATTTTAAAATTATGTTGAAAAATGTCATTAAAACTGCAAAATCTAGATAACTATATGATATTTGAAAAAAGGTTACTGGTAGAGAATAGTAATTAGTATATATTTTAAGATTTATTTAACCTGAACATTTAGGGTACAAGTTAAGAATATAATTAATATATATTTTTTATATTAATTAGTATAAAAAATAAAAAAATTGATATTAATTTTATCATTAATGCTATATATATCATTTTCATTGAATAGTTAATTAAATAAATGCTAAATTTTATTTTTCTATGATAATTAATGATAAAAAAATGTTCTTAACCTATGTTCTTAAGATACATATTAGAAGAATCATACATTTTAATTCAACAAGTTTATAACAAAATTATTATTTTTGATTTAAAATTAAAAGTAGATGAATTTAAAAATATAACTATTGATACATACAAGATACAAGAATCACTTAAATTAATTATATTTATATTATATTTTAATAAATAAATTAAAATGAATATCATATGTTAAACTAAATGTGTATAATCATTTTCTTAACATAAAATTAAAAAGCAATACATAGAAACATTGATAATTTTTTTCGAAGAAGAAAATTTATTAAATATAAAAAAAGTGAGATGAACAAGCGTCGATACCCACACAAATAGCTGCGAAAAGGGAATAAAACAGCTGCTCAAATTCAAAACATAGAAAAGAAAAGAGAGGGTCATGCTTCCTAACAATCTATTCCTCTAGGATTAGGGCAGCACCATGTAGACTTCGCAAACAGGTGGAATCGGGCATGCTTTAAATTCGTTATCTTATATTCTAAATTTATTAAATTGATTTTTTTTATTTTAATTATATAATGAAAGATAATTATTTTATCTTTCTTATCTCACTCCATTTACCATTCATTCGATTCAAATTTAAAATTTTTTATTTCTAACAAAAAAAATTACTACTGAATTATTTAAATATTTTATTTAAATTAAATTATTTTAAATTTTAAATTAGAATAATAAATTCATGGCTCACTCATCTACAAAAATTTTAAATTGGATCAAGTGAGATGGATTTAATTTTTTAAAAATTAAAATTA